ATTGTGAGAAGAGATCCTAAGAAAACCACTCAGGGGCATGTTCCACGTGTCCTAAGATAAATTCTAAACACGCTAAAATCATGTGAGGAAATAAACACTCAAACCATACTGAAATCGTGAGAAAAGGTCCTAAGACGATGCAATGGATGTAAAGAGTATGATGAGATTGTGCGATAGAAGCAAAGGAAATGCAGTAAACAAATAAAGTGACACTTTAAAAAGTACCTCATGGAGTGTGTGGCGATGAATCGCTCTACTTTGACGGGGATATCCCCCTTATGTTCTTCAGACTCTTAGCTTCAACTCACAGTTTAAAGGCCCTCAAATGCTGACAAGGGGTAACCTCTGCATGTAGAAGCCACGGATGCCGCTTTTCTTCGTGATCATATTCACAACTTTCCTTATTTTCCAATGGGGTGACAGACTATGTTAGTTCAGTATCCAGAATTGAGGTGCACACATGCTATCTCAATCTATGGGGCTGCCATATAGATTTCAAGTCGGGGATATACCCTTGGGTATTTAAACCAAACTTTAGTATAAAAAATTCCAAACCTTTTGTGTTCTAGGCATCACCATTCGAACTCTAGTTTTCACCATTGCAGTTGGTCTCCTAGGAACTCATTGCAAACACAGCCAAGATGCCTCTAATGGGGAATGGTGTTCAGGGATAGCACTTTGATCGCCATTCTGGCTTAAAGTAGACTTAAGCTTAAGCTTGAGCTTGAGCTTGAGCTTGAGGTACACTCATACTCCAGAGAAAAGACAAGGCCTGAGAAGGTGCATCCAGAATGCAATCTCGGAAATTGCTGAAGTTGAAACAAACTCAGATGCTCCAATTTTCTCTATTTTCTCTTGCTTTATAGTCCGAAACCTATGTAACTTCAAATAAGTCCTTGTTTGGTTGCTCTCTCTATTGATCAAGGGTGGACCCTGCAGTTTTATGATTGAAAGAATTCTATTTTGCACATCATGTTGAGAATGGCACGCCACTTTGAGCACTGTCACGACCCAAACCCGCCCCTATGGGTTTAGCACCGTAACCGGCCAGTAATCTGTGATTACCGAAGGCCTGCTTAACAATAAAGACAGTAATACAGAGTACAAGGGTTGGCGGAAGCCAAAACAGTAATAAAAGATGTCCAATGAGCTGTGATAGTCTGTATGCAAAAAGACTTTTCATGACACATTCATAATCAGAACAAAAGCAGTATGTACAAACACATATACATGCATTTAGGTTACAGACCAAATCCCTACCATAACAGTACAGTACAAGTCTATAGAGTCTATACAAAACAGAGACAGAAAGGGAGAATCTAAAACACCCCGAAGCAGCCCTAGCTTGAAGGACTTGGAACCTCTCAGTGAGGCACAGTGGCTGGCTTAACAAAAAGGGAGTTAAACCCAACACTCCTAGCTCCGGTCCGGCGCCTGGACTCCTACATATATATATAAATAGTAAGGTAAAGCCCAGTGAATAACATATGCGTAAAGAGGTTAGGAATGAATGCCCTTTCAGTATTTAAAACAGTCATTTAAACAGTATATCAGTTATTCGATCATAGCAGTCATAAGTGGTACATCCATTAGCAAACAATACAGTAGGTCTTAACAGACCGAACAGTCAGTTGATGGCCATCATATTAGTAAACAGTAGTGGTTCCAAACATGGGAACCGACAGAGATCTCTGTGACAGTAGCAGTACAGTACAGTAACAGTAAATTGCTATGGATGCCACGAATACAGTTCGCAAATAGGACAAGCATTCATTCAGTAAGAAATATCATTTTAGAAAGCAGTACAGTTGATCATTCAGAAAATATTCATGATTGAATATATCTTTACAACATTGTTACTCACAGAGTTCTGGGCTACAGATAGGCTAGTGAGCGTCCTCGGATGCCAACCCTACACAGTTATAGGATGAACATACACTAAGTTACACGTTTGGGAAACAATAACTTAATCCCTATCTTGACTCGGTGTGGTTCTATATTAATATCCTCATTAAGATGCCTTAAACTAGGCCTTGGAATGCCTAGGATGGAATGAGGATGCAAAGATGCACTATAAAACACTTTTCAGAATTTTTAGAAAACAGGGGTCTCGCTCGAGCGTGGCTTTCTACGCTCGAGCGGACATGCAGACAAAGGAGCTTCGCTCGAGCGTGACTTCCTCGCTCGAGCAGACTGCAAAAGTACTAGATGCATGAAATTCATGCTCGACGGGCGCTCGACCCCCGCTCAAGCGTGAGACACAAGTCCTCGCTCAAGCGTGCATTCCCTCGCTCGAGCAGACTGTAAACACATGCAAAGTGCTGGATACCCGCATTTCACGCTCGAGTATCACTTTACTCGCTCGAGCGAACTGCATGAACTCAAAGTGTACACTCGAGCGTGGAGTTTCTCGCTCGAGCGTGGGTCCAAATTCTGGAATTTCCAGATCGAACCTCCAAGCTCAAAATCAACATTTGAAGCATCAAATTCGATCCTTTTGAACTAATTTTCTGGAAAACACTTTAAAACTCATAATATGACATATTTCAAAGATCAATTTGCAAAATCAAAGCCCAAAGGTAGTTCCATTGAACCCATTTTCAAACAAAACTTCAAGAACATGATGAACATGCAACATGCATGAATTTAATCAACTTCAAAGCTTCTAGTACAAGAACAAATGAGCCAATCCTTCCAAAACATGATGAATTCATGAACTATAACCCAAATATGGACATGCATGTGAGGATTCTAAGAAAACAACCTCAAAATTCAACAATGTATACATGCATGCATGGATTACTACTCAATTCAACATATTAAGCTAATTCATGCCTTAAATCACTAATGGCTCATGGACCATGCAAGATACAATGATAGTTCATAATCAAGAAGGTGAATATCCTACCTTAGGTCCTCAATTTCAAGTCTAGGAGCTCAATTATGCAATCTCTCTTCAAAATCTTCAAGTCTCCAAGCAAATTTTGATGAACTCAAGCTCACTTCCAACTCTCTAGCTCACTCTCACGTTTTTGGTCTCTCAAGAAGGATGATGAAAAGTGAGGCCAACACATGGAAAGCAAGACTAAACATATGGTCTAGCAAAGTCCACTTAATGACATTTTGGTAAATAAGCCAACTAATGTAATTCAACATTATTTAATCCAATTTAATCATACCAAATCAAATTTCAATTAAACATACCATAAAATCATATAAATTCTAATTAGCATAAAACACTAATCAGTTTCGGATTCGGCCGTCGATAAGTCCTTCAATTTGCAGTTTAAAACATAAAATATGAACAGATCATTTAGCAGTCAAACAGATAGATTTGCATTTAAACTAATACACTCAATCAATCAGTTCAGAATTTCAGTCAATCAGTCACTTAACATGCTTAATCGTAGATTAGCACTAATCAGTGGGGAGGGTTGTCACAAGCACAAAACAATTTATTTTTTTCGATTGAAACCAAGAATGAATTTTTAACCGGGTATTGAGCCTAAGACTAACCATAGTCAAAATGATTCAACAAAAGAAAAACAAAGTAAAACAACCTAAACACATCTATTTACATTCAAAACGACTCAAAACAAGAATTGAGACAAACAAAAACAACAAACACAACACTCGGACGTTTACCACTGGTGCGAGACCTCTCAGTTCATGGGGAACCCATTACTTCTCTAGGTATTGTTTCCCACCCTTTCTTATTTGTGATTCTCGCATCACTTTGGCATTCAATCTCTATTTTCTCTGAAAAGCCCTTTCTTTACTTTTTCTCTCAACGCACATCTCTCTATTTTTTAATCTCTCTTATTTTTTTTATCATTTCTCAAGTGTGGTTGATGGATAAGTTGAAAGTTGTGGACTCTATGAGGGGAGTCAGATATCCAGCATTCATGCTTCATACTTAGTTCGATACCTCACTATTCGGAGGATGAGAGAATTTTTTGGCCTCTGCTGCTAGCTTCAGTTGTGCCCTTTTCTGGCCAGTGTATTGATAATGAGAAAAAGACAAAAAAAAAAACCTAATTCAACTGTGCCCTTAGTTCATCATTTTGACCATTTTTTTTTTTGACTTTCTGCTAAAACAATTTTGACCAATATGAGAGTTAGATTAACATGCTTGTTCGACTTTCTGCTTTGAAATCATGTAAGTCAGGTTATGAGCACTGAAACTTTTTCTTTTTGGGTCCAAGACATGGTTTAGTTTTGGAAAAATGAAATAATTTTCGAGAGAATTAGTCAACTTCACCAAAAATTCTCAAAACTGTTTGCAAATGGCCATTACCCGACCAACGAGGAATTAACTCTTGAGGTGCACAATCTCAGATTTGAACTTGATTTGTCTTGCAGCTAAATCTTCTAACGGATTCATACACACATTCATACGTGCATTTGTACATTTGCTTTGTTCATTTATATATGTATCCACAATGCTTTTTCTAGGGGATTTCATATTTATTCAAACAACATTGCTCGGCAATGTGGTCCGGATCCATCAAAGATCTGGCATCTGTTTATGCCACGAACTCAGAACAAAAAACTTCCACTTCTTGTGTCAAAGAAAGCGAAAGTTTTGGGGCTATTGTGGGAGGTAGAAAAATATCCTAGCTCTAGGGGTAAAATATCATAAACAAACATCATTTATCTCCTATAAAATGAGGGGACCCCAAACACAAGAGATATGCTTCATCTCTCTCTGCCAGATAGCACACAAATACTCTTCCTTTCCATCATCTTTATTTGAATTGAGTGACTAACTTTATCATCAGAGTGTCTCCGGCCTGCAACCTCGGTTGGGTGGCGCCGACTATGTTCATCCTTACAGATCTATTGAAGCCAAGCTTCTCTCTTCGTTGGATCTCTTCAACTATCCATGTGAGAGGATTTTTTGGGTCTCACCTTTTTAAATTTTGAATAAAAACAAATATAAAATAATCGATCGAAGATATGATGTATTTGTTATATTCCTTTTTCTGTGTCAAAAAAAATTAAAAATCACAATTCATATATATACAAATAATTATAAACATAACCTATGTATAGCACGGGTGGAACACTAGTTATAAAAAAAAAAAAAATTGGGTCTTAAAACATTTTACAAAATGGATATTACAAACCCAAAACGATGAAAAAAAGAAAAAGAAAAAAAAGCTAGCTTATTGACTTTAACTAAGTCGACGCCAGCCATGGTCCATCCATATAAATCACAACCCAATCCAGAGCAACTTCTGTTTTTGTCCATAGTTCAAGCTGGTTCACCATCTGGCCCTTACATGGGGAGAGAAAACAAATTGTTTTCTACCATTACCGGGATAGAAAACATATTTTACTCTGTAACCCGGCTCTCGCCATCTACAGCAGCCGCCACAGCTGCGGCAGTTACGGCCTCTTCCTTCTTCTTCGTCAATAGTTTTCCCCCCCAGCTTTAACCTCATCTGATTCGCATCATCACGACTCATACCATCACCACTGGCAACAATAAAATTCTCTAGTTTTGGAATATTCAAATGTTGAAAGCCCGTGCAATCTACAAGCTCTGACCGCACAAGCGATGGGGCACTGATTGTAACAGCACCAACTATTTTGGAACCAAATGCTATTTTCTCAAGATGAAGGAATCGGAGATTCCGAAAGCCTTCAACTGATTGCTTGAATATACAATTACGGAGAATCAATCGTGTCAATTCATAGCACTCCAGGAGAAAAGAAGAAAGCTTAAATGTATTAATATTCCAATTATCCACAGAGAGTTCCCTGATACCATTGCTTGACAGGAATGGTATCCATATATTTATATATAGGGCCCAGTTAAATTGCATGTCCGGAATGTGGAGAATAAACTTTCGAATGGGAATGAGACCTTCACGATGATTAGAGAGAATCTTGGTAACTTTGTTCACCCATTCAGTTGGATGGAGCGCAATCCATCGGCCACGCTCTTCAAAGAGGAGTTTGTCAAGTATGACTTGTGAATGTTCAGACCAATTACTTGTCCTTGACAAGATGCTTGTTCTTGCTGCTTCTTCAAAAGGAATGTGCTCTAGAATTTTGAGTTTCACCTCTACTGGCAAGGTACTGAACCTCGAATGCAAGGTACTGAACCTTGAATGAGCAGGTGGAGAATCATGGAAAGACTGTTGCTTCAATAGTTTATGTGCCTGTTCAGCAAAAAGGGACACCAAGTGCAGTCAATGGACAACAAACTTCATACGGATCTAGGAAGTGTTTGATAACTTAATTCAAAACTTAAAACTCAACGTATTAAGTGAAAATTAAATAAATTCTTTTGATACTCACCATTAGTGTCACTTACAAAATTAAGTGACTCTTGAAATGTATGCTAAAAATTAAGAAAATTTTAAGTAGTTGGAAACTTAATGATCGAATTAATTCTTGGAGCATATCCAATCCTCTACTTTTTAGATATTTTGGAGAGTCTCACCCCATAAAACCAACTCCAGCAGCTTCCCTAAAGAGGGACCCTATTATAGGAAGTTGAACTGTTCCAGTTGCTCCTCAATTGTGGGGAGCTACTGCAGAACCCCCAACTAAAGAAAATTGTTTTTTATTCAACTGCTCTTGGCCTCATCACCAAACGACTCTAATCACAAACAAACAAACAATCCTGTATTTTACAAAAGCTCTTTATCTTTTTGCTATTTTGTTTTTATGATATGTATTCTCACATATATACATACACAGGGATTGACCAAGGGGGTGGCTGCTGGCAGCGGCCACCCTTAAGTTTTGAAAAAGCTCCTTAAATATAGTGATATTAGTAATCGATATTTATAAATTACATAGGCTCACCCCTCCAAGATTTTTTTGAGAAATTTCGTACCTGCCCCCTCAAGATTTCTTTAACTCAATTTGCATTTTCAAGCTTCAATCTTTACTCTTCAATTTCAGATATTATCCATTATTTCTACCTCTTATTCTTCTTGTTTGTTTTGGTTTTTTCCTTTATCATTTTTGTTATTTCCATGCTCTCTTCAACTCATTTTCATCTCTATTTCAAAACTTCTTCTACTTTTAGTTCTTCCTCTTCTTATTTCTCTATTGTAGTTTTCTCTTTCTTCTTCCTCTTCTTTGAGATCTTACATTCGATGTATCGTGTTCATCAACAAAGAGACCACATTACTATTGAGCATCATTTTCAAGTTGATAATTTTACAGTTACATGTGATGCATTATTACAAGAACTAAAAAACCGACTTAAAGAGAATGTGATGGAGTTGTTTGTTCTTAGCCATAGGAATGAATATAGGTTTTTCGAAATTGAAGATATTTGCAAGCTTGCAAATAAATTTAATTTGCATTTATAATTTCAGTTACAAAGTTAAACATTCCGACTTTCAAAAATTGTTAACAATATTTGAGTTTTGATGTTTGTAAAAACTCGACAGTCAACAATTTTTCCTCTTGCCAATATAATGATCAGTTTTTTTTTTTTTTAATCGTACATTTTTTGTACGACAACAACAAAATGCACATTTTTTGGCAATAAAAATTATCTGAACAATAAAATTTTTTTGTTGCATATTAGTTCACCCCTAAAGAAATTCTCTCAAGTAAAAATAGAAATTCTTTGTCCATAGAGAAATGTGCATTTCTGACATTTTAGCCCTATTTTAAGGTAAAAATAGGAATTCTCTCAAGTTCTTGCAGATACAACAAGTAATTTCTTATTTATTTATTTATTTTTTATCTACCAAAAGAAACTTTATTGATAGAAACAAAGTACTAGGTACAATTACTAACATCAACAAAAAGGATAGTGCAAAAAGCATCACAGTGTATTGGCACCAAAATACACACCCATTTTATGCAAACTATAGTTCTATCTATCTATATAGCTAAATCTAACTGCAAATGAAATAAAACATAAACAATAATTCTACATACCATTTTGTAGAAGACGGCCTCGCAAACACTTGAGTCTTGATCCACAGTTCCCAGAGAGTGAGATTTGTCTCTCGGCTCGTTAGGGCTCACCTGTGAGAGCTTACTACACTCAAATAGAAGATTTCTCTATCTTGAACAAGATTGTGTAAACGATGTGGGACAAAAATTGTTTGAAACATGAATTGCACAAAAAGTCCCACATCAGTAAGGAAAGAAGCATGGTGAAGTATGAATGCTTATAAAATAGAGTTGCTTTAGCCATTGCTTTTCAATAAAGCACATGATTCTAAAGTTGCAAAGATTATAATGTAATATAATATCATAAAAGAGCTACACAAAGTAAATTTGCAAATGGGTTCCGTTATATTTTCCACAACACTGTACAATGAGACATGATATTGAGTACCAAACCAGTATTCACTAAACCAGAACTGTAAGCATGCATTCCAGACCTTTATCGCATCTTTGTCTGCCTCTTTTTCTCTTACTTATGTATTTCATTGAATTTGAAAACTAAACTTGCAATAGACCTTTATGTGTCACTATTTTCTTTGTTAAGGTAAGCAAGACAATATCACAACTCAAGCCTTGTAATCAAGAGTAGGAGAATTATACCAGAGCAGCCAACTAGATTTATTACAAAAAAGAAGACCAACACAAAACAATATATTACATATTCAAGTAAAATTATATTCCCATAAAACATATAATTCATAGAAAATAGAAGACCCCTTACTAGTGAAAGGATGCAAAAGGATGAGGGACAAGGTCGATGTGAATAGGAGTCAAGAAACAAGACTAAATTACCTTAGGGTTTCACATATACTATTTCTACCCTTGGTGATGCCCGACTAAACCACATCATCTCTGTTGAGATTCTAAACGCCACATGCGCATCAACTATTTGATGGTACTGACCACATATCATCTCAAGAACTGGAGAACATGCGAGTATGCATTTGATGAAAAGCAATTCAGCCCTCAAACCCTTGATGGAAGTTATCTTTACAGTTCGAAGTTGGTTCAACAACTGGTACATGCAACCTAGTGCTTCCAAGTATCTTGGAACTGGTTCTACAGCATTGTCCCTGACTGCAGAGGCTTGTAAAAGATGATAATTGCAAAGAAACTCTTTTAATTTTTAAATTAAAAAAGAAAAAACAATTACTCTTATCTTGTCTGTGTGAACAATCTCACCGTTATGCGGAGTTTCTTCAAGTTAGGAGAACTTCTAAGCAAACAAAGAACACATGACATCTGATCCACATCAACAAATCTTGGTTTAGTAAACACAAAATGCTTCAGTTGGAAAAATCCATCAAAACAAATCTTCAAAATTCTAGGGAAATTATCAAGAAACTTGTTCAAATTGATTGTACTTCCTTGCCAGGGGTTTTCAGCTTTCTTTCCCAATGCAATAGAGATCATGGTCAGGTTTGGGGTACTTCGGAAAGAGATTGATCTAACATCGTGACTGTCAGTGGCAACAAAGGTTTTGAGTTTTGGGGAATGGATATTAAAATGTTCAATGCCAGTGCAGCCTGAAAAGTTCAAAGTCTCAGGCAATGGCACACTAGGGACAGGAGTTTCAAATATATTGGCAGCAAATGCCATTTTCTCGAAGTGAAGGCTAATTAGGTTACGAAACCCAACAAACGCCTCTGCAGTTTACATATGCAGTTACGGAGCTTCAAATGTGATAATTCTGGACAGGAGAAAACATATGAAGGCAACTTAAAGGATTTAACATTCCGATTATCCAAGTTGAGTTCCTTGTTACCATTCTGTGAAAGGAACAATAGCCATTGAGTGACATGCAGGTCCCAATCATAATGTATGTTTGGAATGTAGACAGAAAATTTCAAAATGGGGCCGCTGTGAAGTAACAGTATATTACTGATTACGCTCACAAAAATAAATGCATAGAGTGGGTTGTTTCAGATGATATCTACAAAGTAGCACTTATCAAGCACAAGATGTGGGGGACCAGTTCAAAAAAAGAAAAAAAAAGAAGCACAAGATGTGGGAGTGAAGACCAAATATACCTCCAGTTTCTTGACAAGATATTCGTCCTTGCTGCATCTCAAACGGGCATGTGCTCTAAAATGTTGTCTATTAAATTTCTTGGCAGGCCAAGCACACCCACTGACTATATCATCTGTCCCATTATCTATTGCTATCCTTTTATGACTGTCTATCATTGCTGCCAGATATTCAATAACAAGCACACCCATTAATTTTCTTTGAATTTGTTCTAAAACTAGATCAATTCAGATATGGTGATGAAAAAATAGGAAAAACAAAGAGTAAACGCAAGCTAATTTTACTTCACTTTTTTTTTCTCCCAAACAAACACCCCCCCCCCCCCCAAAAATTTCAAGATATGGTGATGGAAGAGAGCACTGCTTTACAAATGCAAAAAAATATGGAGTTTTCATTTAAAATAATTTGGTTTGTTTCGATTCTATGACATTAAAACTAAAGACACGTTGATTGTAGTTTAAAAAATATAAATCATTCTGGGTAAGAATTATGCATACTTGAAACATTTCAATAACTGATCCTATGCAAGCGAAAAGATGAGAAAATAAAATGAGTGAAAGAAGCTAAATTTCCTTTCCTTTTCTTTTTTCCTGTTGGTTTAGGAACATGAGAAGCAAATGAATAGGTATTTATTAAAAAAATATTTTTTAATTTATTTATTGGGTTACCACAAAAAACTGAACATGCATAAGTATCTCCAATCTTTCATCAATTTTTTCATCTAATAAATTTGAGGAAAAAAAAAAAACTTGATTTGATATGAACTACTCCAACCCTTTCACTAAATTTCTCGTCATCAAATTTGATGAAAATAAAATCATCTCCAATACTTCATCTTTTTAATTTTCATCAGATTCTAATTTGACGAAGGATTTGATAAATCTCAATTTGATGAAAACAAGGTTTCTCCCTTGATTTGATGAGCATTTGACAAATGGATTGGATTGAACACTTCCTCATCAAAATTAAATTTGATAAAAAAAAGGGGCTAAGGATTGGAGATGCTCTAAGTAATTTCATTTTCCTAGCCATTAGGCAAATCCAAGATCCAAACAGAGCAAAACCACCTTACAAAGGGTTTTAGAAATTGGAAGTTTATGAAGACCAAATTTGATTACAAAAATGAAATCAAAATTTGATAAGAAACGTTGAAGCTGTTGAACAGAGTTAGACAAAGTACAGAAAATCAAATCCAATTATAAAAATTATAAAGAACGGATCTTACATGATTACGTGATCAAATCAAACCATAAAGAAGTTGAAAGATAGAAGAAATGGGAAGAAACACATATGATTAAAGTAACGAAAATCAAATGCTACATTCTAAAATCGACATTTAACAAATGAAAATGACGTCAAATTTACCTGTAGTTATGTTCAACTCACACTTCCATACAGTGTTTACTATAGAAACCCTAGAAAATTTGGGACATCGCTTGAATAATTTCTCATATTGACAGGCAAAATACAAAGATTACTTATGCCAAATAGGGCGGCAAATAAACCAACATGATCGCAAGTTGCCTCGGCTCGACTTGTTAATAGCTGAACTCAGCTGAATTTGACTTGACTATAGTAAGCGAATCGAATTTTAGCTCAAATTTCGTTCGTTTATGTTTATTTAAATTATATAACAAATATATTATTTATATGAATAATGCTTGGGACCCTCTTTTGGGGGTCACCCCCTCACTCCCTTTGCCACGTGGCAGGGGGTGATTGGTGGAACAGGAAAAAAAAGAAAAAGAAAAAGAAAAGGTAACCAATGAGAGAGAGAGGGGGTCAAAGGGGGTGGGGGGAAAAGGGGGATGAATCATTACTCTATTTATATATTAAATAATATATAAATAATTATGGGTATTGATTTCTGACCACATAACTAAATGAGAAATTCAGTTGGAGAGCACTGGCAGAATAGATTAAACTCGAACAACCTGTCACAAAAAAAATAAGAATTTGACGGTGGTTCGTCCACCCGGGAGTACTCTGACGCTCAAGTCAATAATTAAATATCTTTAAAAGATAGCAAATTGTGCTTAACTCACAAGAAAGAACATACTGCTATCAATCTATCACACCTCTTTGAGACCCACGGGGGTGCCTTCCTTTTATAGCCAGCACTGACCTAATCCCTGCAGAAGTCTCACTTCAGTGGACTCAGGATCAATGCTCATCTTGGACTCTCAGTTAGATAGGGATAAACTTCCTAAGAGTTTTATCTTTATCCAGATTGAGATCCTCCCCTATTTTAGGACTCTTGCCCCTTATCTGCTTATCTCGGATTCTGATATCTCCACAAATAACCTTGGCCTAGCCGAGATTACCTCAGCATTAAGACCAGGCCACGTGGCACCTCGGCTGACAGTTCGGGGTCACTTTGGCCATGTGCTGTCATTCACAAAATATGTCCTTACAACTGCCCCCTAGATTCTATTACCTCGACAACTTGAGATGATGGAACTTACATCGCTTATTCATATATTATGTCGGCTAAAATTCATTCTTTCCTTCGACTGAGTTCATGACTCGTCGGTTTCAAGTACCTAGGACTTAACTATCCATCTTTACCAATGATCAAGAACCAAGAGTCAAGTTCTTTTAATATCTTAACCGAGGTCACTCCTCTAGCCAAGGTTTTTGTTTCATTAATCAAGAACTCCAAGAGTTTTGACTGCGCATGAGCTGTCACGCACGGTTTTCTTAACCGTTTACTCCACGCGTCCTTTTCTCATTGGTTCGTACCTGACACGAGTTATCAGGTTGCATCGCTTCTGCACGCGTCGCTTGACACACGTCGTCCAACGCATCCCATTATGTTTTTCCGCCTTTTTGTATATTTGACAAAACTCTTCATTCTCTCTCCGTCTTTTCACTGCAATTCACAATTTCCCTCGTCTCTCAGACTCTTTCTCTCTCTCTAACATTTCTCTTCCAAACTGCCATTTTTCAAGCTCTCAAGCTCTGCAATTGCCTTTTCCGTCACTGCCGGCGCACCATTCATCATTTGACTATAATCATTCAAGTCGTCTGACTTCGGCATATTTCACTCCGGATTCAATCGGTAAGTCCTCTGATTTCTTCTCTTTAATTTCAATCTTTCACTGTTTTTGAATATGATATTGTTATGCAACTACTTGTATGTCTCTTGCTATGCGATCTCCTTACTTATTCTCTGATTCTGTTTTGCCATGTTTAAAACATTGCACCTTAGTTCTTGAATCTGTTATATGCATTGTATAGCTTATGGTTCTTGCATACTGCCTTGCATACACTCACTCAGTGTTTTGCGTAATTTTTCATATTCTTGAATCTCTGTTGTTTTCCTGATTCTAAATCATGCTCTTTTTTCTACTTTCTTGCTTTGTTTCTAGATTCTTGTCCTTGATTCTTGTTTCTTTTATAGACTTTTAGGTTTGGGATTTGATAGAAATCAAATTCTTCAGAAAATTGAAACAAATTCCCCTTAGATCTTCAAAATCCCTCACCCCAATACCTGTTTAAAGGTTTAGCCGAGGTCTTAAACCCATACCAATCATTCTTTTCTCAAATCTTGCACCAGTCTTCATTTAAGCTGACATCATGGGTATGTTTAGGTGGAGGGTAGACACCCCAGAAAAACTTGAGTACTTTAGGAGAGAGTTCTCTATCTCAGCCGACGTTCAGATCAGGTTAGCTGGGGAGGAGGACTCTATGATGCCTAATGGAGACTCCAGGCCCTTTCCCGTTGTTGCATTTATTGAGTGTAGACTTCGGTTTCTTTTAGACTCTCTTTAGGAAAGTCCTTCACTGCTACAAACTCAACCCTATGCAGTTAGCCATCAATTCCTATAGGGTTATCAATGGTATAATCGCCCTAGCGCACCGAGAAAACACTAGGATAACATTAGTCAACATCAACTTTGTTATACTATGTGTGGCCTAAAGTCTGAAAAAGGCTACATTTATTACCTCAAGCCCAAATCCACTGCCTACAAAATCATAGCCAACCTCCCAAACTCCAACAAGGGTGCTGGAGATGACTACCTAATTGTCTCGGGCAACTGGGAGTTTGCTCCTGATGATAATCTTCATCTCTTCCCTCTGCATCAATCGATGTTTAAAAAGGATGAGGGTAAGAACTAAGTGTTAACTTCTCTATTTAAGACTTTACCACTTTAATTTCTTTTATTTATTCTAATGTCTGTTTTTTTTCTTTTTGCAGCTCTTCCTCAACCATCAAAAGACTTCCGCCAGTCCTTCTTTCCCAACAAAGACTTGAAAAGGCTGTTGGGCCTGCCTGTTGACCAGTGCAAAGCCTCTCTGCTACTCAATTATATCCCAACATACAAGTCGGCCTTGCCCAACGTTCCTAGGCACAACAATATTCCTTCGTCTGCTTCTACTCCACTAGTCACTTCATCGCCAAGGCCAGACCAAGCATTTTTCTCAGATCTAGTTGAGCTGCTATCAACCTCTGCCCCTCCAACTTATCTCGACATCCCAGCGCCGATGCCAACGTTGTGCCCCAACAAATGCTCCAATTGACAGAACTTGTAGCCGCAAACGCCGAGATTCTGAGGCTTTGGCTTATGACCTAGCCAATCCCCCTAATCGCCCTTCCAGCAATACACTTCGGCACAAGAGTCATCGTTGTTGCAACCGCCAACGACATGGGCCGTTGCAAAGCCGTTGTCGAAGACCTTCTGGTCGACTTGTCAAGAGTGGTTATTGTCACCTCTTCTCTATCAAAGTCCCAGCCCAAGCCTAAGGCAAAAAAGAATGAAGCGTGCCAAGGTAAAAACTACTGTGACTTAAATTGACATTGAAGACACTGTGCCGATCTCGAGATTGGCAGAGGTTGAGAAAAGTGCCTTTAACACCGAGAAGAGACTTGCCGAGGCCGAGCCATCTGATACCGCTCGGTCGAAGAAGCTAAGGTCTAAAGTTGTGGTAAGCCCAAGTACTTTCAAAGCCGATGAGCCTTGGGCCCCTGCAATCATGATTGGTGATAAGCCAATAAAGGCCGGTGACAGCGCCATCGACAGTATCGAGGTCGGCGCCACCATGCTCCTTCCAACTGATCTCAATCGCATGGCCGAGATCAATGAATATGAAAATTTTGCTTTAATGATGCAGCATTCCGTCTTGGTAAGTTCCCAACACTTAGTACTTTTTGGCTTTTTGTAACAACCCTCAGCACTGTTTACTGATAACACTAGTGATTAGTGCTAATCTATGATTAAGCATGTTAATTGACTGACTGACTGAATTACTAAACTGATTGATTGATTGTGCTAGTTTGAATGTAATTCTATCTGTTGATTGTTAAATTATCTGTTCATGTTTATGCTTTAAACTGCAAATTGAAGGCCTTATCGGCGACCGAATCAGAAATTGATTGATGTTTTGTGCTAATTAAGATTTATATGATTTTATGGTATATTTAATTGAAATGTGATTTGGTATGATTAAATTAGATTTAATAAAGCTAAATTACAAGAGTTAGACTTAATTGTCATTTTGCCATTAGTGGGCTTTGCTAGACAATTGTTTAGTCTTGACTTATCTATGTTATACATCATCCTTGTTCATTTGTGAGAGACCAAAACCGACTTGAGTGAGAGAGTGAGAGAAATTGGGTTCAACTTGAAGGTTTTGCTTGGAAATTATAGGAATTGAAGAGTAATTTGCTTAATTTCCACGGACGTAGGTTGAGAAGCTTAGCGGCTGGGACATCTTTTGTGATTACATTTATGTATTACATATCAAGCCAAAGGCTTATTTTGTGTTTCGAGTTAGTACTCCTTTTTGTAACCAAGTGTTGACTTGGAAAGTTGTAAGCCCATAGAGTATTTATTTTTGTTGGCAACATGTAATACATTTTGTAATGAATACTCTGATGGAATGTAATTATGCTTTATTTTCTTATGTCTAAACATGTCAATATTGTTTGATTTATGGGTTTATTTTGAGGGCGTTACAACTTGGTATCAGAGCGTACCGGGTTTGAATACTTTGGGTACGTGGGAAGTGATTAGTATCACAATGGGTTTGTCTTGCTTGTTAGAGACTTAGATGTAATGTTATATGCTTATGTGATAACATGTTTATATGACTATTTGGGTATGGGATTTGATTTCTAGGATGTTGATTGGATCCTTGGGTTTCTGTGAGTCTTGTTCGAAAAGCACTTGATCAATGTTGTTTCTAACCGGAACTCTAGTAACGCCTCGGGACTATCATTATCCGGAAATGAAATTCGTAAGTGCTTATGTGATTATGTGCTTACGTGGAGTGAATTACAATTGTTCATGCATTAGGAAGCGAGTGTTATAGCTTCGGCACATTTTTGAATGTGCTAGTGTTCTTCATTACCTTTATTAGGATGTCAGGACGGAGACATGATGGTAGGCGAGGTAGGCTGGGAAGGCAGGAGATGCCTATACCGGATGAGATTTCGGAGCAGCAGGAGAGGGTTGGCCACGCCAATGTGGCCGAGCCAGTAGGTCAGCAGGCTATGGGTGTTTTAGCCAGCGAGATAGCAGGGGCTTTGAAGGAGTCTATGGGCATTCTCAGAGCTGAGAATC